AGTAATGTGTCTGCTGCAGTTGAATAAACTATATTATACCAGGTTAAACTATTCTGCTATCAGTTATCAGATTCAGTACAGTGTTTTCTGTTCAGCACAAGCTTACTAAGTTTTTAGAAATCAACTCAAATATCATCAGCTGTTTGACTTCTCTGGAGACTCCAGTGATGAACCTGAGACTTTGGCATGCAAACAGACTGCAGTCCATTCTGGGTATTGAAAGGCTATGGAATTTGCAGTCTACTAAGAGTAAATATATAGGAAGCCTAGCCTTATTTTTATTATTTTGGTTTTTTTATACAAAGACTGATATGTAACAGTATGTGGGATGACCTTGGAATACAGGGAAGAGATGCTGCCTAGGAAACAACCAATTAAGTATGTGGGGATGGAAAAACCAGACAGGAAACAGATCAGTTTTATTGCAAGACTACACATTAACAGAATCTTGCAAGACTGAAATTTCAAAGCAATTACCATGGACTCCTGGTGACTAACATCATAAGAACTTGAACAAAGAACAACACAATTTATAAAAACACAACAGAATCGGAAGATTGTTTATCTGGAGCAATAAAAAACAGGAAGTGCTTATTAAAGCTTCCTGGAAAAGACCTGTTTTCACCAGTTTCCATAATGGCAAAAGGCAAGCGCCAACCTAGCATCAAGAAGGAGACTACTCTCTAAAGTAAAAGTCATCCCCAAATGGATGCTTTTGGTCTTCAGCCCACCTGACCTCAGAACACTGGAGAACCATGAAAAGCTTCTTCTAGATTCTAGAAGGTACTTATCACAAAGAAGAAAAGTAAAGTCAAGAGTCAGGAGCATCTATAGTTCCAGTAACTTCAACTGTTACTTTTTTTATCCCATTCTGCTTGTAAAGATCTATGTGGTTTGCCCTCTCCAATTTTATTTACAGTGCTCCACCAAGTGAGTTGCAGGTTAAAACGATTGTCAAAAAATAAAAGTGTTACAACATTATGGCTTAGTGGGAGGTGCAAAAGCAGTTAATGTGAGCCACTAAACTAGTTTTTAAAACGTGGTTTATGATAATATAATACAGTCAGGAGGTAAATAACTGCTTTAAAATTATGCAGGCTGCAGTTTCAGATCTACTAACCTGAAGTAATTCCTTGGATTTAGATATACTTCTGGTAAACATGTATATTGTATAGTATTGTTTTGTCAGTAAGTTTTGTGAGCAAATGAGAAATTGGACCCTAAATTCTAATTTAGACCTCTAACCTTAGTCCAGTGTTGTAGCTCAATTCATGTTTAACAAGTGTCTTCATATCATAGCACAAATATTAAAGCTTCTGTGTGAGTCTGCTGTTCCAATACATATATTACACTTTTCCTTAAAATGCATACTAATTTGCCCAGGGTAATTTGAATAGCTTAATGTACAATTATTTCTGCATTTACATTTTGCTCTTTCAAAGCCATACTCCATAAAACAGAGTGTGTCATCTTTAAAAGCTATGAAACAGGATTTCTCTCAATTGGTATCTTCATTCCCTTAATTGAACTATTTAACATTCATTCATAGAAGTAACTCATTTGAATAACTGATTTAGTTTATGATTTAATATTCTGCTTTCCTAATATCAAATATATGATCTTGTTTGAAGACCCAATTCCACCCCTGTCATGTGCCCTAGAACTTTTAAATAACATATATTATTATAGACGGTTTAGTGCCTTAAGGGAAAAAATCCAAAATCCAGAGTTGTGTAATATATTAGAACCAAATCGAAATGGTACAAAAGAGGTTGTAAATGTTAAAAGTTGATTCAAGATATTAAAAAATTGCAAGATCTTTCTAGTTTGTTCTCTACCTCCTGTTTTCATAACATCTTTCTGATTAAAAGTTTGGAAGGATTCAAAAGCTTCTACTGTCCTTTGTGATATTTTGATTATTTCCACATAACGACTCTTGACAATTTGAAAACTGATCTAAATCTTTTTAATCCTATGATGTCATCTCTTCTCAAGAGGCTAGATTTGTTTCTGGCTTGGCTGCTATATGTTTGACAGTAGAGTACACTAGTTTTCTCTTTGAAAACATATGGCTGTGTGGAATTTCTGAGTAGTCAATGGTATAACAGTTACTTTTATGTCATCAATTTACCAAAATCTGGGTCTCAGCAGTGCTCTTTCTGGATTACCAGCGGGTTTCCTAAAAAACCCAACATTTTTTGCTCAAATAAACCCATATTCTTCACAAAAAACCTCCACATAACAACACACACAATAAATCAATCTCAAACTAAATAATTTTTTACCTATTTAATATGTACAACATAATGCATTGAATAAAAATATCTAGATTTCATTAAATTTTAAAATAAAGAAACCTAGAAACTCAACCATGGATTGAAGAACCTAGAACCCAAAACTTATTACCAAAAACCCTGCATTCTATCAAACATACAAAATGATCTACAAATAGGGAGAATTTCTTGTAATTGATTTCCCTTTTATGTGGAATGAAAGTATAGAGAAGATATTTGTCACTAGAGATAGTATGGCACTTGAGGTGGAACAGTGATCAAATGGGTTTTGCCCTTGTTTTCAGCATACTGAATAAAAAACAGAAATGAATACCAGAAGACTACTTTCAAAGTGCTCCTGAGAGATTGGTGAATGCATAGCAAAGATCTTAGATCAAAGTATTAATCAAATATTGTTTGAGTTGCATATTGCTTTGAGGCAGCATATGGTAAGACACAAGCAGGTTCTAACTCATGAGTTTTCAAATTTGGGAGAGGTTAAAGGTACTCAAGGAAGCCAAGTACAAACAAGGTGGTTTTAGTTAAAAAAAATAAAGCCTACTTCTTTTGGATCCTGCTTTAAAACCCATTTTACAGAGGTAAATTGCTGAGACCCAGATAAATCACTTGATCAAGAGTCATACAGCCTTGCTTATACTGTATTTTATTCTGAGTAAAATCTATTATTCATATGCTAGAAGAGAGCATAATATTGCTTCTGTATTTATTCTGGCCATTTCAAATCATTGCTTGGTCATTAAATTCACCAATCTTTATAAAATTCCTAATCTGTAACAAATATACACAGGTATTTTACTGGAATAAAAATTGTATCTTATATTTTGTAAAAGAATATTTATAGAATGTAGTTAGGATTGGCTGCTTTATATGTATAAACCCACACCACTGAGTATTTATGCCCTATCTCACATTGTATTAGCATTTCAAAGGATTGTACAATTCAGTCTAGATTGCTTTAGGAAAGCTGTTCATTTCTGCATTCAAATCCATGCAGGTATTATTATCCAACTGGTTTAGTTAATATAATTGTGTGTGTGTGTGTGTGTGTATAAAATTCCAGAGCAGGATCCTAAACACGGGCTATAAATCATTTTTCTCTGAACCAGGACGGGCCTACCTAGCTCTAAGGGCTGGGTCTAACCCTAAGATTCTCTTTATATAGCTAGCAGACCTTAACCATTAAAACTGAATAAGTTTCTCATGCTGACAAACTTTAAGTTAAAAAAAAGAAATCCTCCAGTTAAAATATGTACATCATAGCTTAAAACAAAGTAAATTCTCTAATGTTCTCCAAGCCCAGTGCCTTCCCACCATTGTGTATTCTGTTCTCCCACCCACTCTACAATTCTTAATTTCTATAATATTAAAAGAGATCCCCCCCCAAGTTTGCCAAGGCTCCCCCAATTCAAGGGGACAGGGAGGGTGAAAATCATGTTCACACAGCCTGCTAATCTAGGCTAACCTGAGTACCTTGTAGTTCAGCAAGTTTTCATATCCCACCCACCACCTTATGTGGTGTGACTGTTGTATGAATAAGGCAATCACAATATAATATGCTTCACTTCTTTGGCATAATCAGTTCTATAACACAGCAATTTTGCTTTGTTAATCCAGGTTTAGAATGTGATATAAACCCTTCAGCCTTACAAGGTAGTCCAGACAAGAAACATGATCAGATGAGCTAATTATACTTTATTGTATATGTTATGTTAACAGAATCTTGCAAGTCTGAAAGTACAATTCTCCCATCTCTTTATAGCTCTAGGGGAGTCTCTTCTGTCCCATCCACATTCCTGCTGCCGACTGAGCTGCTTTTTATTCCTAGTATTGTCTTTGTTATGCCTCTTTTGCCCTGTCTCTCCCAAGGTCATTCCTCCATACCTTCACAGAACCCAATGGTGGATTTGAAGGACACCCCTCAGTAGTGGGATGATACCTCCAAAATTAAGAAAAGCCAGATCCGACTGATACTTGAATAGGAGCCACCAAGAAATCGTGGGGTTTGGGATTAGTCTGAAGGGTCAAAAGGAGAGAGAGACAGAGAGAGAGAGAGAGAGAGAGAGAGAGAGAGAGAGAGCAACAACACACCACCGTGTAATTGTTGCTGAGTCAAGATGGACTTCAAAGAATCATCGTCTTAGGTTAACCCCGGGTAAGAACACTCAGAAGTTCCAGACTCTTTATGTTTTACCGCCACCACTTTTGCAATAAAACAAATGCACGTCATCTCGCAACAAAAAGCACGGTCGTCTTTTCATCACATCCTTCCTGCAAGCAACGCGGAGTTAAGGTGAGGCGGACCATCTTAACGAGCGCATTAAAAACAAAAACAAAATACCTATTCACGGCTCTCAGGAATGAGAGTCAGTGAACTCCTGGGGACTTACTTCTGCCTAAGCGCGCCCAAGCAACACTGAGGTGGTGACTCGCAACCTAAGGGGGAAGGGGAAAAAAAAACCAAAAACCTGTCACGCCGCCTCCGTTCGCCGCTTTCTTCCCACCGAGCAGCGAAACCCACCCCGACCAAGCTTCGCTTCTCTTCTCCAAGAGGCGCATTTTAAAGTTAGGGTAGCGGCGTTCCCCGCCTCCTCTGGCCACCTATTGGCCGAGGTTTGCTCATCATTTCCCCGCCAGGGAAAGGGCGGGGCTACGTGACGCCCCGGAGACTGGCGGCTGCCGCCTCTGCTGTTACCTAAACGAGAAGGCAGCGTGAGAGGAGCTCGGTGGAGAGCAGCAATTGCTGGCAGAGCTCGGGAGCGCGTGGACTTCGGGCAGGACTTCGCCCGCGGGGGAGGGAGGGGGGGAGGGAAAGCAGCGGCAGCCTCGCCTCCCACAACATCAAGCCGGCTTTTATTTTATTTTTCCCCCCCCCTTTGCTTTTTTCAAAAAAGAAAAAAACAACAACAACACCCTTTGGCTGAACGCTGCTTTGTTTTATTCTCCTTTGCTCCCCTTTCTCTCGCATCCTGCCAAACAAAGGAAACAGAAGGAATTCCGATTTGCGGGAGACATGCGTTCCATCAGGAAGAGGTGGACTATCTGCACGATAAGTATCCTCCTGATCTTTTACAAGACAAAGGAGATTGCAAGAACCGAGGGGCACCCGGAGGCGCAACCCAGCGGGTAAATGCAAAGCGTTTGCTTTCACACGTATTTGACAAAAGGGAGGAGGAGGAGAGCCGGGATGCGCGTTAAGGTGCAAGGGCCGGTGGTGTTTGCTCCCCTCAGCCCCCTCCCCTTCGCCAACTTGTATTGAGTAGGTGTGTATCTTTTGGGGGGGGTGTTGTGAAGACCTCTCTCCACACACCCACACCCCACCGCCCATTTCCTTTTGATCTGCAGTCTGCGATTTCGCCCTGGTGTAAGAACTGAGCGTTAGGGCCGGCTTTAGGAGAGAGGCGATTTCCCCAAGGCGAAAATGACGGCGGGGTTTTGGAAAGAAGTTGAAAGGAAAAAAAGGGGATCGCCCGAATGAGTTATTCGACGGCTGGGCAGTTGCTAAGAGGAATAAAGCAAAAGGGCGCGTTAGAGATTTGGAAGCGTCGGTAGGTTCCGAAGTAGCGAGAGTAGCTCGGGGATGCTGGAAGCGGCTCGGGTTTTGTTACAATGCTGGTTTGGGGGAGTGGCACTCCTCCTTCCCTTGCAGAAGTTCACCTGTGTTTTATCGAGAATGGTTGCGGATTAAGGAACGCCCCTGTCCTAGACGGGAATTTAGTGGGAATTACTGCCAAGTTAGTGCTCATATAGAATGACTTTATTCCAAACCCCGATGTCCCTTTCCTTTCCGCTTCTCCTGGATTACACACCCCATCTTTGGATCATTTAAACAGGATTAGCGCCGAAGCAAGTCCGATTGCGCTCAGCTGTTGATGAAACTGTGCTTCGTCTCACTCGGTCTCCCGAAGGCTTAAGTTTTCTAGGAGTGTTAGGGGCGTCTATTTAGAGGGGCACATCGTCCTATTTCTTTCTTGGGTGTCCTTCGTGGCAGCAAAACCTCCTGCTGCTAATTTTCGCTTGAGACGATGGCAATTAAATGATTCATATTGCCACGCGTCTCGACTGCGTTGACACTTTACAAGCAAAACAAAACTTTAGCCCGTCTAGTGCGACGTAGCTGTGGCCGAGACTGCAGTTCGCAGCGCGCAGTTAAAAAGAGGGGGGGGGGAACCTCTCCCAATTTTACGGTACAGCGTTGCATTTAATCCTGACGAGAGCTTCTTAACGGGAAAAAACGGGCGGGATCAGCCGCGTCGAGTTATTATTTTGGACGATCCGAGGAGGATGCTGGGTGCCGTTACTACTACTGCGTGTAACAGCACCCAGCATCCTCCTCGGATCCTCCAAAATAATAACTCGACTATATATATATAGTCGATATATTATATATATATATTACGCTGCCATTGGTACTAACTTAAATCTGAAGCTGGCTTGTTTGGTGTAGGCATGTCTGTTGGCGGGTGGGAAGGCGTGCCCGAGGGGGTGGGGAGCCGGCGGTGCCTGGGAAATCCAACGTGGTTCGCGTAACAGTACAGCAGCAGAACGGCGGTGCCGTTTAGGGTAGGGTAGGTAGTCTTGCCTCCCCCCCTCCCAGCTCCTCCTCGCCCAGCAAAGAGAGGAGATGCTGTCGGCAGTGGAGAGGGGGGTGTGTGCGTGTGTGTGTCTTTCCTGGACTGCCTCCGCCCCAATTCCTGCTCCCTCCACCGGCACCTACACCTTTCATGCGTGTCCGCCTGCCTAGCCTCTCGAGAAACCCGTGGGTGCCTGCGGAGGCTGCAGCGTTTCGAATAGAAAGGCGGGAGACTTGAGGATGCGTGGCAGCCAGAACTGCTCGCCTCCTTCCACGTCGCCCTTATACAGTCCCGTTCCCAGGTCGCGTTTTCTTTGCAAACGGTCTCTTTCCTCGGCGAAGCTGCGGATCTCAACCCATTCGCAAAACCTTCCAGCTGCAGGAACAGAGCATGGCGAGAAGGGGGGGAGGGGGAGGGAAGTTCACCCCTCTAGCCTAGCGATGATCCTTGTTTCTGCTCCGGTTTTCTCACCTCGCGGGCGGGGTACGGTCGCCCCGATACATCCCAACCGGAGAGTGGGGGAGCTTGGCAATATCAGTCTGATCGGTTGTTTTGTGCTTCTCTACCCGAGGAAATAAAATAGAAGGAAGCGTCGCGGTGGCGTTTCCTTTTTGGTGAGTGTGGTCTGCAAACCCTTGCCGGCTTTTGCGAGGTTTGCACAAACAGGAAAAGTGCTGCACCACTGGATGGGTTTCGGTGATAAGGTTTCTGTGGTGCCAGCAGAGACAAAAGATGAGCTTCTTTGTTAGCCACGATTCTTGGATTTCTCTCTTCTGCCAAACACTGGCTGCAGCTCCTACAGCTTTACACCTCTGCTTTCCCAAACTGTTGGGATAACCCTCTGGAAAGAGAAATGCAACACATCTATTCTGGTTAAAGCGCCTACAGCAACCCTTAAGCTTGTTAAAAAGTATGGCAGCATTTATTGTGCTTCTCTCATTGCTAATATATTTTCCTGCTGCAGGAAACAGCCCACAAGCTGTGTTTTCTTTATTTATGGAGCTAACTTAGGAAAAAGGGTTGGTAGATCCCCCTGGATTCCTTTCTTTTCCCACTAAGCATTCCCTGCCTGAGCTAAAAGCAACCACAAATCATTCTCCTGAAGGCTGGAGTTTAGACACATCCTTAAGGTGCTAGTTTATTCACATACTTAGAATGAAATGTTTAGCTATCAAGTGTGCTGGCAGGTGGCAGATCTTGTGGTTGCATGCAGGGTGAAGAAGAGGGGAGGAAACAGTTAATGAACATGCTCTGGGGTGCAAAGAAGTAGTAGTGCTAATCATGCGTGGCCAAGGAGTCAAATTCTAATCTGGGTAACAGCATCTGAGTAGACCATGGATACAATTCATAGAAGTCAGAATGGAGTTTGCTAAGTGTTGTTCCACCCCCCCACCCCAATAGGAACCTCAGCCTCAGGAAATGCAACTGCATGATACTCATTTTGGCAGTTTCAGTGCTTTCGGTGAGTCCTCAGAAATTACAGAAGTGGGGAAAAATACAACTGTGTGAAACCACTTGGTAGCAGAAACAGCGAAAGACCTGTACAGCAGCCAGTGGCGCAGAAATAGCCCACATCTGGCAGATATCCTGTGTCGTCTTGCTTTAAGTCAATCTTCAGTCATTGTGATTCTAAAATTGTTTTGAAAGGGATTCCCCAAGGGTCGATGGGACCATCTGTTATTGTTATCATTGTCATTTATAGTATTATTAGAGTAGTGTTATTTGTCAATAAATCATCGATGGTGTCAATAAGCCATATAAAACTTCATAAAAGGATTGATGAACTGAAAAATTTGGGGATACCTGGTTGAGAAGAACCTTAGTTAAAACTGACAAGTGCTCTGAAAAGCTCTGGTTGGGGATTAATTTCTATAATCCAGGTATTCAGGCTCCCTTGAAGTTTAAGCTAAAAGGTCAAGAAGAGCAGTGACCAGAGGAAAGGAGGTGTGGGATTGAAATAAATCAGGCTAATTTACCTCTTGATTTCTGTACCGTAATTTGTTTCTAAAACTTTCTGTATGGATTTATCTATTCGTCTTCCCGCCCAATATTAAAAATCTCTCATTGAAATAGTTCTGTAGGCTGTTCACTTTTTTTCCAGAATAAGTTGTTGAAACCATTGTTTTCTGGGACAGGTCTGATCTATTAAAAACCAACTTTAGAACATGTTGAAGTCTGTTTTTAATTGCTTCCCAGAATATACGGTATATTCATGGGTTCTTGAATGCTTTCTTACTAGCAGAGAGATGAGGAAAAATACAGTTTGCATTATCCTTTGAATGTGTGCTTGTGGAGAAGGGTTAATAAGTCATCTACTTTCACAGGTATACCAGTACATGCAGAATTGAGAGTTGATTGATGATACTTTCCGAGTGAGTTGGTTAATCTGTTGTAGCACAAAGTGGTCTAAAACATGATTGAAATCCCCAATGGAATTACTGCCAAAGTTGGCCTCTCTTTTATTGATACACATGTGCCTTCAGTCACAGTAAAATGAGCTATCTTTCCCCCATCGTTTCACATATTTTATATTTTATTTGGAAACTTCTTTGCTGGCAAATTAACGATCTACTGCAATGACTTGGTGTCTTCCAGTGTTCTGCAGAAGAACTTCGATTACCACTGGCCATTAACATATTGGCTGGAGATGATGGGATAGGAATTTTAGTTACAGATATTTTAGACTTGGTCAGAGCTAAAGAAAAAAGGTAACGAACCATCTGATTGGCTTTAATATGCTAAGTTCAAGGAATAGCTATAAAAGTTTAAAGCAAAGTATAAATATCTGAGTAATAGTGGTTAGGGGAAAAAGAAAAGACAGAAGTCCTGAATACTTGATTTTACATTTTCATTTTAAATGTTTTTTTTATTACATTTAATTTTACTTATATATTACTTGAATGTTTAGCATTTTTTTTTTAAAAAAATGGCAGTTGGAAAACTACAGCAATAGCTATAACTAAAGGTTAATATGCTTTATTATCACGTACTTACCTAAATCTATACGGTTGTATATTTTTCTCCTATTGTATATCCATTAACTCTGTAATTGTCTATTTAATAACTGTTTGAAAGATTTTAAGTTGGAATATTTTTAATATCCATAAAGAAACAAGGACCAAAATCAAAATAAAGTAAATGTATCCCAACTCTAGCATCCCTCTAGCCACCACTGATCTCAGATCTTGGAGGCCTATATAATGGCCTAATTGCTTGTTGAGTTTTGAGATTGTCTCAGTGATATTAGAAATTAAAACTTTGTGTTTGCTGGCATTCAATAAAAGCGAACATTGCTTTATATTCAAATTAACATAATTAGTAGTGAGGCACAAAGCATTTTAAAAATATTGCTTGCTTTACAAGAAAAAAATATAACATTTTATTGTATTGAGATGGAGGCAGAAATGTTCCACTTGATTTTTCTGAGTATTAAAAAAAAGAGAAAACAAATATTCCTTGAAATCAGCGTGAGCAAGCCAATAACAAGATTGCATAATGATGCTCTCTGAATTGTAATGTCAGTTAAAAGTTTATAATATTAATATAACTTTT